TATTAAAAAAACTTGACGTAATCCACAATACCGCGATCAGATTAATAACAGGAGCATTCCACACAAGCCCAATAGGAAGTATAATAATAGAATCTGCTGAAACATCCTTAGAATACAGAAGAAAACTTTTAAGCTTAAAATATGCAGTACGAGCGTCAACATCTACCAACCCGATTATCTACGGTGACATCTTCTCAAAAAAAAAAAATACACAAACCCAAACACCAAACTAGTAATATTCCCTTATATCAAAGAATTAAAAACTTTTTTAACGAACTGGAATACAACCTACCAATCACAGAAAAAACTAGATTCCATAAAACACCCCCATGGACACTGAAGACACCTAATATTAACCTATCACTCATAGAAAAGAAAAAGACAGAACTAACTACACAGGAATGGAAAGACCAATTTAACATCCTATGTGCCAAATATCCTGGATACACCCATGTCTATATTGACGGCTCCAAGAGCAATCTTGGAACAGGTGCAGCTGTATTTGCGCAAAGTACTACAATAAAACACGGAATGAACTCTTTCAACGGCATCCACACAGCCGAAAGTTACGCGCTCCTTTCAGTTCTTGAATTCATCGATAAATCTTCTCATTCCACATTCATCATATTCTCCGATTCCCTTTCGACTATCCTAAAGACCCAAAACCTAAAGCAGACCATGGAAATCCGCAGAACAATACAAGAGCTATACGACAAATTAACTACACATGGGAAGAAAAAAATAACGATAGCGTAGGTCCTTTCCCACATGGACATCCACGGGAATGTCATGGCCGATCTCGAAGCAAAAATTGCAGCAACACTACACCCGGATAATCAACCTCTCTGCAGCACCTCTCTGGACATAAATAATCACCTAAAGTCACTGTGGAAACAGTCGTCGAATCGAGCATGGAAAAACTACAAAGCAAACACACTTCACAAATCAACAAACAGTTTCTACAACCTTAAAACAAATCCCAATTTCAACAGGAGACAACAAACAGCAATAACTAGAATCAGAATTGGGCGTACCAAACTGACATATTCATATATCCTAAACAACATTCCCCTCACTCTATGCGAATCATGTAATGAACCAATAAGTATCAACCATATTATACTAGATTGCAGGAAATATAACGAAGAACGTAGGAAATTTAACGTCAAAGACGATATCAGAAGCAATCACCTCTACATTATATCAAAACACCCTAATTACATTCTGCAAGACTATAATTCTATAGAACTTGCAACTTTCTCCTAAATTAATCAATTAAAGACAATAAGTATCTAAACCAGTCGATAGTCGCTAATGACCTTGATGTTGATGCGACTTTAAACTCTAAACAAACAAAAAAAATATCGGGTTTAATTTCGTTTATGATTTATTATGTGGAAAACAATAAAAATAAAGTATTTAATTTTACATATTTGTAAACTAGAATATGCACTTTAACTCATTATGGATCAGAAAATTCGGTAATCACATTGCAAATAATATAAAGCTTTAATTTCGCAAATACCATAATGTCCGAATATTAAAGCGAGTAACTGTAGGTAGAATAAAAGTGAGATGCGGGGATTTGAAAGTCGTTCCAAATGATTAAACGTGTCTGAAAGTATTAAAATCGGTACAAACACGATTATTATTGATTTTACGACGACTGACATCGATGACGACCAAGTATTATCGTGAACGATGAGTCATAGAGCTTGTAACGTGCTTTCAGTCAATTCTATCAATCAAAAATGATCGAAAATGGTACCAAATTAGGGTTTTTTATTGATGCGACGAATATCGGCGACAATGACAACAGGTTTCTGTCTAAAGATAAGGATATAGACTGCCAACAATTTATACAACTTTAAGGTACCTTACGAGCCTAACCTCAAAATTTAAAGTCAGAGGAATAAAAATTGCGGCCTGTAACTTGGTACGAGCAAATAGGCAGACAAATGAACAAACATACAGGATCAAGTGGTTCTAGGAGCTTTACTACGTACGGCAACAAGATTTGTCTCAATATATTGCCGCGGTAGCGAGATTGCAACTACATAATTTCGCTGTCATTTGAAAACTGCAAAAACTTACGAAATACTATCTCATTCGTAAAAATTTCAGGATAAAACACATAACAGGATTGAAAAATTAAGTACTCAAGCGAGTAATTGGAAAATGTTCCGTCATTTTGGTCTCAGTTGGCGCCAAAATTCAAATCTATTTGTCTGGAAATGATGATGAAGTAACAAAACAAATTTTCTTAATGCAATTCAATATAAAATATAATTTAAATTCAATATAAATTCAACATAAAATATTACAATTTAATTTGTTGGAAAACAACAAAAATAAATATCATTTTTAAATGTTTGATTAAATTATTTTGAACCAACATTGAACCTCAATTTTTACGAAATGTATGATAATAAGTTTTAAATTAAAATAAAGAAAGAAAATACAAAATGAGTTTTGATATTTTATGTTTAATAGATAAAATATTTCTTTTGATGTTCTGTTATGGCAGTTCTGCACACAAATGGATTTTAATTTTGCCGCCGTCTGATATCACAATTATCTTCTGCTTTTAATCAAGTAATCTCTCTCTGTCTTGCTTTAGATCAATTTGATACGGTTTTCTATAATTTCCTTCTTATATCCGTGGTCATGGTTTTCTATAATTTCCTGCAGGATCACTATGAAAAATGTAATAACGAAATGAAAAGAGAACGCTGTAAGGAGGACGTTTATATCCTTATCCGACTGCGCATGCGCATTAACAGAATAAATATGTCATTGTTATGACCGCATATTCAAAACAAATCGTTAACCTATAATTACAATCGTCAATTTACTCAAGTTTATTAAAAATACTATTCTAAATTCAAGTGATATCAATTTCAATGTATTTTAATTTACAATTTCAGCTGCCGTACATTTCTGAATAATTAAATTTTGTTTGAACAGGTCTTCAATTAGAGTATTTTAAACCAACTTATTTTAGTTAATTTCATATGATTTCTATCTGAAAAGGTCAGTTTCTCTTTAACCATTCTCGTATGTTTATTAAAAAACTGTTTGGTGAATAATTTAATTACTCCAATTCGAACAATTCCATTATTTTCCTCAGTCACGATAATTTAACTCTGATTTGAGAAGTAAAGAAAATAAAAATTTGTTTCAATGTAAACGGTGTTATAATGAAAAAAAAGTTAATACGTTTAAAAGTATTACGTACAATGAATTCCACAAGTAAATATCCATTCTGCCGAATAAATATTATTTAAATACCAACTAATCATTCGCGCAAAGTGTATTGACGCGAAATCAAAGGGGTTGAAACTAAAATTTACGGATGCCTCGTGCATCGCGTCGTTTGCACACGGCTATAAATAAACATGCTGAAAGCGAGCGTTTATCGTTGGAATTTATTAACGCTTGAAATTTCTATCGATCACGCGTATTTTCGATGATTTTATAAACCATTATTTATCCTGGTACCGTGAAGCGCGTTGAAATCGTAGATGAAATATGAAATATTTTCTCAGACAAAAAAAAAGGGCAAACGTCAAGTGACCTGTGTAAAGCGCACGTATGTTTTCGCAGACGAATGTAATTATTATAACGTTAACAGAAAAAGTTGTTTGTACGCGGAGAATTTTTAATTACATTTTATCCCGTTACCGGAGATATTGAAACCGTGAAGTTAGAGTGGCCGTAGCCGTTTGTGCAAAATTTTTCCGCAATTCTCTGTTTACGATCCTCTGATATCACGAGACGTTTCCCGGCATTTTACGAGAAAACTCGAAGAAAAGTTTCAGCAGAAGTATCATCGGCTTTGCCAGTTACGATACAGGAATTGCGATCCCGGTTAATACGACGAAAGTAGTTTCGAAGACCACTTATCGGCCACGTGGACGTTTAACACTCTTCTTCTCGTGTTTAATATATTCCGAGTTCCTCTAATTACCTGTAAATCGGCCTAACTTGGATTTCGTTCTCGCGCAACTCGTTAAAACTAACTTAGCCTGGCAAAAACTAATACCACAAGGAGACGATTCAATTTCATTTGCTATAAAAAGAAAATACCTTAACGATGTTTCATGTTTACATAATTATTGAACTTTGATAGTATATTTGCTATAAAATTTTGTAATCGTTTTGTAATACATTGACTTATATAAAATTATCACAATAATTTAATTTTTGAATGATGCACAAAAAAGAACAAAAATCTTCAGAAGTGGTAAATGCATCGATATGTTAGGATAGTAATTTGAATTTAAATGTTTTACATATTTACACGTATATTATATAACACAATTATATTTATATTTATATTTAGATATAAACATAATTATTCAGAATTTGTAATAGAAAATTCTGTTAAATTAAAAGAAAATAAAATCAGAAAACATGGCCAAACACGTTTGGTCCTGCGAAAGCCATCATAGTGGATAAATATGGCGGACGGTACATTTGGCGCGAAAATTCAATTTTTAAGTCTCTACTTGAATTACTCTTTTATTTAGAACAAATAAACTTCAGAAGTTGCGGTTTAAATTGATCTTGGTTATAACTAACCATTAGAAAATCATCTTTAACTATATAATTTTGTTTGTCAGTTAAACGATTTCATTGGCAAAATAATCCTTATAAACATAATTAATTAAATGATTTCATTTTGCAAATAACCCATCTATATATATCTTTAAATAATTGAACAAATAATTATTATAAATGGTATACATTTAATTAGAACCATTAAGTTGTTAATATAAATAATTAAATTTAATTATTGACAAGAATTTCATCTTGAATATAAATTGACTTTTATAGACAGAAATTTAATGTTATTCACTAGTAATCAATCAAAAATCGTTTTGATTACCGACGATGATCATTTATAACTCAAATTTGATCTTATCGGTGGTAGATGATGTATTTGGAAGAATGTTATAGTTTGTGTTGTCGAATTGAAGGGGTGGAATGAAATTTACCAAAGAAAGAAGGGGAGCCAACAAGCCAGAAACGCTGACATGATTATTCCAAGCGTCCTAGCAGCCTTTCGTTCTCTCCTCATTTTACTGCTGCTAGTGATCGGTGGATCTTCTGGTTGTGGATCTGGCGATGATTGATCCACCGTCGGAAGTGTGGTCAGACCTGCGGATATGCCATTGATCTGCAGATGCTTGTTCAAAAGCGCAGCCGCCACTTTGCTCCTGCAAACAGACGTTTCATTTCTGTATTTCTTTGTACGTTCAACACTTTACCAAACAATTGGCTTTTATCAACATTACTTCACAAAGCTAATGATGTACTACGACATAATATACCTATATCGTAACTTATTTTCATTGCTAAATTATTAAATTACTAAAAGTACAAACTTAAATCGCTGAAAGTAAAAAATATTATACAAATTTTGTCACGTAATTGACAAAACATATTTAATATCTTCAAATCTAATTTAGTGACAATAATATTCGTTCTAAGACAACAAGATTAGAAGTTTCATAATGAAAATAATTTAATGTTGATGCTTTATATCATGTGAAATGAATTTAATGACGTATGAACGATTTAGTGATTTCTTCCAAAAGTTTCGTTACTGCTTTTTCCAACAAAGAATTGGGGATGAAATAATCAAAATGGCTGAAGCATGTTTCAGTTATTTTTTAAAAGGTTAAACCACCATCTTGCTATGGAAGTCGAACTTTGTACTGATTTTGTTTAATTTTTACTGGTATTTAAGACGAAGAAAAATATTTCGATTTCTTTGGTCTTAAAGGTGGCCTAACCTCTTACTGCAGTTATTCTCGATATTTTCGAAATAGCACTCATATTGAAAGTTTCTGTAAAGAATAGAGATTGTTATACTGGATGCAAAGCCTGTCTGGCTATAGATGGTCCATTGTCGCTAGAACCCTTTGTCATCCTCTCTTCAATGCTCTTCTTCTTTACCATCACCCTTTATGATCTTGAAATTGTTTCAAAGTTGGATTAAAATAACGTTCACTTCAAATGTATTAACGTTTGCCACATTTTTAATATAACAATAATTAATATTACTGAGATTTGGTTTAAAATGTAACATCATTTAATCTAATATAATTGTAACATAACCTAATAATTAATACAATTGAGAGTTGGTACCAATTGTACAAACATTCATTCCGGTTATTTCGAAAATGCTTTGCAATAAGCAAAATAATTTTATAATGCATTTCACTTAAAGTTCTTGCTGATTATTTTTAAGAACATGTTTCACTTAATAACTCTCATAATGCTTGAAACACTGTAGAAAAGGGTAATTATAAGAATTCAACTTAACCTAAAAAATTATCGTGCTCGTAATAATTTATATTTAAATTTTTCTCTGCAATATTCAACGAGTTAATAAAAAATTCAACCAACACGAAAAATTTGATATTAGTTAACGGATCGAGATCGGGTGTTTCAGTGGAGAAAGGTATAGCTATATCGAAAATGGAAACTTTAAGAGGGTCTTCAATGAATCCTGTCACTTAAACAAACTCTTCCCTTCTAAATTAAATTATACCCAATGCAGATTGCTCTGTTAGCGTTAACGGCATTAATTATAGTTCCTTCTGTTGCACTCAACGGGAACTAAATTGCGACTTAGCAGCAACCTGCTTAACAATCTCATGTCCTTTCTCAGTTCAACGGAACTAAACTTCTCAAACTTCTCGCTGTGACAAACGAAAAATGACTGCTTAAAACAATCATTAAAGCAATGTTTACAAATCATTCGGTTGAACAATTATAATAATAATTTCAGATTAGAAAATTAGAGGAAGGTCTCTTCAAGTAAATTGCTGGAAGATATAATGAAAGATAAACTCATTTGCCTTTGACGATAACGTCCCTGCCTTTTTTCGAGCTCTTTCTAAACACTCAATTGTTATTTAAAATTCGCAAACAACGAAGTCAACATCTAAAGTAAAAGATAAAAGCGAACTCCGAAAGCAGCCGAAACGTTTAAAGATAAATGAGTTGACTTTTCATTTTATCTTCCATCGATTTGCCTGAAGAGGCCACTTCTTCCCTTTATTTCATTAATTTTGTTTTCAGGCAAGGGCGGAAGCTGGGAAAAGCTTTTTAAATCGCACAGAAAGAAGCTGCGAGAATCATTTTTTATACAATTTTTATTCGACAAGGTTCTTACAGGTTTATTATCTAACTGTAATTTACAACTTCGTTATATTCGTGAACGTTGTACGTAAAAATCGCTGGATATTAATAACTGTCGAGTAAATGATTGAAGTTTTCTTTGATCGAGTTTCAACCTCTCACTCTTGATCAAAAGAAACGAAGAAAAAGGCAGTATGTCGCGAAGAAGCGCGATTTAACAGCAACAGCAGCTGCGAAAGCAATCGAGGAAACTTTTATTAGCTCCTTGGAAAATTACTTCTACATCCTGATCGGGAACTTTCGGCTTTGATCTGAATCTCCTCTCAATTTCCCACTGATGAGGATTCTTTCGCTTAAAGCTCGAAAAAGCTTGCCGCCACTCTTCGGGGCTTTGCAAAAAAACCTTCGAGCTGGGAATAGAATTAACACGTAATTTCAACCTTCTCGTATCGAGCAAAACATGATACGTGCTCTCAGTTTGATTCTTGGACCGATTTAATCGCTGATCGATCGGGAAATTCACTGTATCTCTTGATTTCATCGGGTACGTCGAGATACATGTAACTTTGTTTCGGTTAAGCACAGATGGAAGAGGATGTTTTGTAATATCTATGCTCAGTAGGGGAGAATTAACTGTTTTTTGGAAATTTCTGTATTTCTAAAATTCATTTGAACGTTTTTGATGGAATGAAAATTTTTTAATCCCTTAACCTACAACTACGAGCATAGCCCGTATACGATAAACATTACGTTTCCGGTCCAAAATTCTCGAGCGTAAATCGTAGGTTATGGGTTTAATTTCTGAATTGGGAAATTTCTAAGTCCATATACTTCTAAGTTATTAAATTTCTATATATCTATATTTCTATATTTCTGTATTTCTATATTTCTGCATTTTTGTTTTACTATAATTTAAAATTTTTTAATTTCTGTTTTTAAGTTTTTAAATTTCTAAATTTTTGTATTTTTTAACCCCTAAATTTCGAAATTTCGTTGGAATATTTCCAGGCGATTAAAAATTTAAAATTCGCTAATTTGAAAATTACAAAATTCAAAATACCCCAACTTCTTAAATTCTTAAACCTTCAAATCATCTATTTTGAAAAATAGACTCCATTATTCTAAAATTAACTTTAAAACTAATTAATTTTAAGAATTTTAAGAATTTAAAATTGTAACGATTCTGGAACATTTGCTCAACTCTGTGAAACATATTACCCTTTTTAAATCAAAATCATAAAATAATTCTTGCAAATTAAAAATGTATATATGTATCGGTTACCGACTGTCGAATTTAATACATAGGATAATTGATACATAATGTACTGTCGGTAATTGTCTAATACTGTCGGTAACTAAATTATTCTTACGGTAGATAAATGAACTTAACACAATACTACCATGATGGTGAAGAAAGGAAAAAATTCTTCCAGGGATGTTACAAAATTAATTCTAACATTCTCACATATTAGTATTCTTATATTTCCAAATTCTCAAATTTTCAAATCATTAAATTTTTAAATTTACCAATTTCACAATTTTTATAGAAAATAAAGGAAACGTCTATAAAATGAATATTATAAATGTAATGATAAAGACAATACAATTAACCAATATTTTAATTAAAAAGTGTCCATTAATTCGTCATATAACACGCAAAATGAAAATACAAAGCTGACCTTTATATCTTATGGAATAATTAGTAGCCTTTTCATTTAACCCTTGAAGAGTAGACAGGAATAATAACGCGTCAGGAAGATATCACGTCACTTTAAACTCCAGATTAATTGAATTTGTATTATTTATTAAATTCGTACAAATTTCAATATCTTCGAATTTCGAAATTGGTTATATTTCAAGTTTCTTAAGTTTTCTGTAAGAGTTCACGCATTTTCATATCCAAACTTCCAAATTTCTAAACTTTCTAATTTTTAAATTATTAAATTCCTAAATTCCTAAATTTCTAAATTTTCAAATTTTTAAATTCTAAAATTTTGAAGTTTCAGTTTTAAAATTTTAAAACTATGTGGTCCCAAATTTACTATATAGCAAGCCTCCACATTTTAAATTAATATGTTTTGAATTCATAAGTTCATAAATTCAATTCAATGATTCAATTCAATAAACTCAGAATTTATTATTATTATTAGCAATAACTTATTATTGTAAATAATTGTAAATTTTTTAATTTTTATATGCCTAAACATTGAAATTCTTAGAATTCAAAGATTTTCAAATCTTAAATTGTAAAATTGTAAAATTGTAAATTTTTTAATTTTGTATTCTAAAAGATAACAAATCCTTACATTTAAAACTTCTGGAGTACTAAATTTTTAAAATCACAAATCACAATATTTGAAAACTCTTAAATTCAAGAGGTCTCCATCAGGTCCCAAAATTTCAAATTTCAAATTTTTATGTCTTAACGCATCAAAATTCCAAAATTCTACGATTCAAAAATTTAAAAAGTCCAAAGATGAAGTATTTTGAGGTTTGAAAGTACAAAAATTTTTAAATCACAAAGTCTCAAAATCCCAAATATCAAAAAATTCAACACTTCATATTACAACCCACACTAGCACTCACACTCTAGCACTCAAGAAGTCTCGTAACAACCTCAAAAACTAATAAATATAAGCGCAGAAATATCTGTTTACATAATTGTGCAATAAATAATAAATAAACACGTGCAATTTATCGTAAACTCTCTATCAATCGTCTCTCACAATAAAGAAGCGAAGCATCAAAAGAATAAAACGTCGCAGACGAAATATCGTGAAAAGTCTGTTTGAAAGGATATCAGAAGTTTTCACGAGGAACTTTCCAGTGTCCTGGAAACCCGAAAGGCCGAGGACTCTTTAACGATTCCGATCGAATCGCGATTTGCACACTCCTTCGGATTCACAGCCACGATTTATTGGCGAAGCACGGACGAAACGAGATCTTTTCTCAGGGCACAGTGACTTCTTTGCCATTCAAAAGAAAAAAATTAAATCTGTGGCTGCTCGTGAACGTCTGTGTCCTCAGTTCCACTTCAAAAGAGGTTGTCTGTAGCCTCTGGTACGAT